CAACAGTGACATTAAGATGCGCACGTGCGTCATGAGGTGCGCGTACGCATGAGTAAATCTTTTAATATGCTCCAAATTCTTTTTTAACAAACTAAATTAGCGTATTTTGCCATTATCAGCATTTAAATATTGTTCAATCCGCACCGCGCACACTTCCTCGTGGGTCTAAGTGCGGCGGATCACCTAACTCGTCCACAGTGACGAGTTCAAATCTAGTTGTCTCCTTGTTTTTAAGTCGCCAACCAACACCAATAAGAAATGGTATAGATATAGGCATATCCAGGAAAAGCCAAACTGGCTACGAAGACTAAAATTATTTTAAACTATTTTCTATTCATTTGTCATGATCCTACGTAGTAAAAGCAATGTAATCCCAAAATAAACACGTACGCAATAACAAAATAATAAAATGAATCGCGACCGATTTAATTTTGATATCGTTTTAAATAGACCAGTAAGATTTTTTTCTCTCTCAATAATGACGAATTTTACTTTAATCGGTTTACACGGATCTAGGCTGATTACAGATTAAGCCCTTACTTATTATTATTTTTATTTTTTTTTAAAGAATTTGTGTGGAATTTGGACTAAGAACATTAACCAAAACTATAAAACCGAATTCTTGAGAATTTCTCGCTTCAATACACACGTAGCCATCGAAACTCATTTATACGTTTTAAGGAGCTTTGATCCGCGTCATGCCTCTGTATGGTGTCACTGTCATTGTGAAATGATCTTTTTGTATTAAATATGATCGGAAAATGGTAGGACATTGATTACAAGAATGAATGGGTACTTTTCTTGTTTATAATTTACACAATAATTTATGCATATAATACGTATAATACATATACTTTATGGAGGTTTTATAAACAAAAAGATGTGACTGCATTCTGCCAAGCTGTACAATAGTCATAAAAAGCAAATATGCAATGTCGGACTCGAGAAGAAAGTAAATTCACATACAGTAGAACCCCTCCTTTGGGACAACAATTCAGGGGACACTCTTATTAAGGAACACTTTCCCATGAAACGAGGGGCAATATATCTTTTAACACTATGGTGAACCCCTATTAAGGGGACGGGGACACTTTCTGAGTGCTCCCTGAATAAGGGGACACTTTTTTGGTCCCGAAGGTGTCCTCTTAATAGGGGTTCTGCTGTATAAGCAGACGTATAGATAGGCCTACATGCTACACAAATTCACAAAGTAATATTTAAATCGGATATAAAAACTCGAGTTGCATGGGCCTACTGCACGTTACTTTCGAAGAGGTTATATCATTTTGACATCCGACAGCCATTACAGAATAAAATACATAAAAAAAGACTGAAAAACACTCAAAGCATATCTTTGAATGTTTTTTTATTACGACTAATTTTACAAGATTTACAAATTTAAGAAATCTACTACTGTATGTTTCACAATATCTAACTTCTCATTAAACATAATAGAACCATTTTCGAGATGAGGCTTAACCAGAGTCATATAAAGACAAATCAAAGTTGTTCCTCAATTTCAAGCAATTCCTTTTAACGAGGCCCAACATTCTATTATTTGATATGACGTTTAAAATTCAATTTAAGAACAACACACTTGTCTTTATGAAACTCTACATTATCAAAAACATGGCTGTTAATACTGTATTGAAAAATAACTTTTTTAATGCTAATATTTAGAATTTTAAAATTGTGTTCACTTATAACCATACCCCAAGTTTTACAGACTGTCGGCTATAGCTTATAAGAATATATTTATAAAGGTATTCTTTCCATTACCCCATAAACGATTACCCCGGTGATATATCACAGTCACACTCCGGTTGTGGTGTGGGAACGTAATCTGCAAATACATAATCATAATCTGTAAAATACTGCACTGAAATATGTTTCACCTGATGAAGCTAGCGAAAGCTTGTGTTCCAATTAATTTCGTTAGTCTAAACACAGATGTATGATCCTGCGAGTCTGGTCTAAAGAAGTACTGTATTTCATTCATTTTTACTGAAATAAGTCACATAAACTACAACTCTAGAGGGGGTAACTCACTTTCCACGAAAATCAGAGCTATTTCTGAGATCCAATCAAGTGGAAGTATTTTTCGCTCGTTAGTAGTAGAAGAAAAAGGTTGATTGATCAAGATTTAAGAACGGCGTGTGGTTGTGTGGTGTATTTGCAATTATTATTTACAATGGTTGAGATGAGGATTTGATAATACTCTTTTTGGGTAAGTGTCCTTATAAATTTTTGAAATAATCATTTTAAATTTAAAAGTATGGTTTTTACGTTTAGGTGAATAGGGAATCGTATGTGTAGAAGAGTAGGCTATCGAAAGAGGTGCATACCTAGACACCGGACCGACTGGATGATGATCAGCTGTTGTGTTGCGTGCCAAGACTCGGTGTACCTAGCTAGCCGGAAGCAGAATGGCACGGTATTCCAGGGCGGGGCGCGAAGCGCTTCAAAGCCCTTTTGATGATATAGGGCCTATACTAGGAAGTGAGTTGTTAGGCTAGGCTAGGCCTAGCCCTCTAATCTACAACTTTTTGTCGATTACATTTAATAGTAATTACAAACACTGCCACACACGAGTTATCATTGACATTGCCTTATTTAATAAAGAAATAATATTATATATTATTATTATTAGGCCTAGGCCCTAGTTTTAATTAGGGCCTAGGCTTAGCCAAATTAATAATTTAATCAAAAATCCACACGCAGTACTTAAAGTTTGTGCTGCTTTTTAAAAAATTATTTTTTAAATTTATTTAAAAAATCGTTTAATACAGGATGAAACATAATCAGGGGGATCGCTGCAGAACATCCAAACATTGGACGCAGACTGTACATACAGTATAATAGTAAGACCTGTGCAGGAAATATTACATCCTCTGCGCAAAAAATTTTCGCCTAGAAATCCACCATACAGTCATGGGCGTCAATCGGTGGGGACAGGGGAGACACATCCCTCCCACTTTTCAAAGTAGGGGACATCATATCAAGTGTCCTCCCACCCCCCCAGTTTCTACCGATCTTCTATAGTTAAAACTCCACTTTTCAATCGAGTGGAAAGAACCACAACAATTACAAATGACTGTCATGAATTTTGTCTCTTCACTTGTGCACTGTTCCAACTGCTCTACTATATTTATTCCTTTTGTATTATTAAGACCCGTAATATACTGTGTTTATCAGCATACATAGATTCCTGTTTTTCCTTCATAAAATTATAGTTAGTTGAATTTTATAGAGTCTGAGAGTGCCATTTCCGGCCAACTAGAGAGGGTGCCTTAATCATAAATTTTCACCATGGTTGGGGCTGAGATGATCTACACTCTATCTGTGATCCACCACTGGGTTTTGAAAATGTAGTGTGGAAATAAATGTTAATTGCATCCTTACAATCAATTAAATCAATCAGATACAACTTATAAAAGGTTATAGACGCCAGAGTTTCCGGGGGCCTTCTCCCCTCCATCTCCACCGAAGCCCAAGGTGGCCCCCCTGACCCCAAACCAAGACTGCCTTATTTTACAATTTGTCCATTGTTGTCCCCCCCCCCACTTTCAACAATGGATCGACGCCCTTCCATACAGTACAGTACATAAATACAATTACCAGAAGAATAGTGAAAAATACATACTTGCTCTTATGTTTATGTTCATTTTTTCAAATAATACAGAAACTTGTATTTGGGTTCTGTGTTAATAGGCTATTTAATTGATGCTATGAAGTTGATGAACATTTTTCATTTAAGGATGTTAAATTACGAGTCAAATACAGTATAGTACTCTAATTATGAGGACAAAAATGAGGGGAATAGCGTGCTGATTTATTATGATAATTAGGATGCTGGATACTTAGTGCAGTCATCCATTTGATGCCCTTTACACTCATCTATCCAGTTAATGAATAATATGCATATGATTAGTTATGCAAAAATGTGGATTTTGTAAGATAATTTTTATGTTGATTAATGGTTTCCCAAATACAATCTAATAAATGATTTCTATAAGTCTGTTCTTCTTGCCAATCTTGTATAGTTTGTCAATTATGAACAGTTGACTGAGCTTGTCAAACGCAACCACTTGGAATCAATCAATGTATAGTGATTGTGTATGGGAAATGATCTCATTTACACCATTGCCTTTTGCTGAGGGCTCATTTTCTCCACTTGACGGATTAAAAATCATGTAGGATTAAATTACAAGTAGGTTTAAAAAGATCAACAAAATTATTTACTCGATTTCAGAAGCGTATTGACTTGAATCGCTCAAACATGTTACAGTTACATGTAGGCATACTCACCATTTAAGTACAGTAGTACAGTACGTACCAGCAAATTCAACACCTTTATTCCATTCTTTATTTAGACAATGCAAGTTAAATCGGGTGGGATGTTGTGGGGATGGGATGTCTCTAATTGCAGTAAAAAGTACTTCCATTTTCCCTTAAACCATTTATAGATTTACATCAAGATTTTAAAAAAAAAAAAAATATTTATGTGCAAGATTGCATTGCACTTGCTTCATGCTAATTATTATTCAACATATTAGTATTTATAACACTTTTGTTAGTGGGTCAATTCCAAACTGTGGATGGTTTTACAGTAGTCTTCACCTGTCTTGTAAGTATTGGTAGACAACCACCCACCTGCGTAACAGAATGCTTGTACTGCACTGTTTGTCAAAAAGTCTTATTCTGGGTGTGTTTGTACTATTACTAATACTAGATACACACTTCAAACTGAATTTTGACACCAAAACTCTAATTTTGATTATTCTAATTGGAGGCTTATTCTCTTAGTAGGAAAGAGAAATTGCCTAGAAAAGGTAAAAAATGATGGGAATTTTATTTAATTTCAATTATAACAAAAATAGTACTTACTTAAAAGTTACATTATTAAAGGGTATTATAAAATGACCTTCGCTACAGAAAGCCTCAAAATATGAGTTTTGAAATCTACCTGAAAATTAGCAATCAACACTGGCCTTGATCTAATTTTTTTGTTTTCCCACAAATGCAGAATAATTTGTATTTTTGTAATATTGCAGTATGTTGCCTTTCGACCTTCCATGCAATTGTTTTTGATTGTTAAACTCAGTAGCTTTATACAGTATTATTATGGGATGCATGATGGAATGAAATAGAATAAACCTACTGTAGGCCTACAGACAATATTGTCAATCAACCGCCAACACTGATTTCCAAGTGTCACTGTGTTTTTGCAAAACAACAAATTTTGTTTTTGTGTGGTAATCTAATAATAGTATTATAATAATAATGAAAAATAGTTTGTGTGCAAGGTACTGGAATGGTATAATGTAAACTGTGATTTTAAAGGCATCTGATTGGTCTATACTTGAGGTGGCCCAGTTTATTGATATTTTCTTTTTGTGTTCTCTATCAGTTTACCAATCACAAATAGACAAAGCCACTTTTTTTGTCTGGTGGTAAAGTAAACATTCTCTCAAATACTTTTCAATTTACCTACAGTACCATAGTCAACAATAAGGAAGTAAAAATCCCCACTATTTCAAGATGTATAAAGTATTGTTCTGTACTTCACAGACTTTGGGAAGAAATAAATGTATTTTTGTCATTTTATCTGAACAATGTCCCATCAAGATTTGAACCCAAAACTTTCGGATTACCATTTTGATACTGTACCAACGTAGCAGTGAGGCCAAGTTGTTTGCACCTTTGATTTTCCTATTTGGATATGTTTTTTTCTCAAGAAAGGAATAATATTAATAATGATAATTGCTAAATTACATGATTGTCTCAATACTGTATGTATTAACTTGTTTATCATTACTAATTAGTGGAGATGCTTCTCCATATTTAGGTCATACATATATTTAAGTCACACAGTAGGTCTGTACTTAGTCTTTAGATAAAACACTTTAGTATAAAGGTGGGCCTACTTAATTACTCAATATGAGCCCAATCACACTTACTCTAATACTTTGACTCAGAAACAATCAATAAGTTTTAAGCCGGCCCAGAGCCGACCTAAATTTAGTTGGACTTTAAAGTCGGCTCAGGTCATGCAATGCAGGGCCTGGGCCAACTCTTCTTCATATCTGAACATAAACCAAACCTAGACTAGGCCTAGGTTGCTTTGGTAGCGGTCTATTTTGACATCTTATACCATAACATTTCCCGCAAAACCCGACAGAAAGGAGGAAGTGTGAACATTCGCAGTGTAAACCAGAGCCGACATAAAATACTAACCGCGAAAGGAACTGTTGTTTTGATTCGGCCGTAGTTAAGGCAGCTCTGGGCCGATAAGTGTGATTGGGCTCTAAGATAAATGCTATCTGTGTATGTTTATAGTATAAGAACTGCTATTGATGGCAACAACAGCGCTGTTGTCAAGGGAGGATCAAGTTTCAGGGCCAATAACAGATGTAAAGCATTTGTATGTTGTATATTTATATGAATGATACCAGACAGGAAGTCTCACTACAGTTAGAATATAACTTTACTTTACATTTTAGAATACGGTAATGAGATTTTACGGTCAACAATACGTAAATGTACTGTATGTTGCAGTTATGTATATCATATCACACGCATTTAAATCGGTCAACATGGGCCTTTACTTCCTAGATCTTTGGAAAAGCTTTTGTAATGGTAAATACTGTATATAATGTTGCCTTTTTTGGATGTGCTTTTAAATACTTCCAATTATAAACATTTGTTGTACAGTATTTCTGAATTTGAAATGAGACCATCTTGTACTTTAAAATTATTTTAAGCAGGAAGTGATTTATAGTTGAAGGAGGAGAATATGAAATAAATGAAAGGTTTAGGGTACTTCACAAAAAGGAACAGCTATAGTAAATAGTACAGTATACTCACTAGAATTTTAATGTTAATAAGGAACAAAGTATTTGATAATTAATCCCTAGAGCATAAGATTAAGATTTAACAGTGATGAGATGAATTTAGAAGGATGATAGTAGGCTTCTGCCATCTAAATATACTGTACAGTACTTTAAAATTAAAAGAAAATGCATTGTTCAATTGGTTATATGTAAAATTTCAATTGAAATTTAAAACAAGAAATTAAACATTTTCTCCAGTACACGAAAATACAAATTCCAATTTTTCTGCCAGCAAATTACGTATTTTCTTAGTGAAAGGTCTGTAAATCATGCTTATATTAAGAGGAAGTGTCCGGTTTAACCATTGGTCATTGAGCTACGAGACTGAAGAAAA